ATGTTTTGAATTGCTTCTGTATAATATAGTGCATCATCCGTATCTGGAGGGTCGAAAAGCCATTTGATAGCGTATGAAACGCCGTTAAAGAGACCTCGTTTGGATCTGGAGAGAATATCGGTTGTATGACCTGTTAGATGACAAATAGAGTCGAACTTTTCATTTATAATTTTGATGTTATTTGAAATTAGTTTTAATGTTTCCTGAACTCTAAATGTTTATTAGTTTTATTATTATTTTTAAGATTGTTGCATAACGGTAATGAAGATTGATGGATTTTGGAAGTTAGCTTGAATTTCTCTTCATAAATGCTAATGTTCGTGAAGGATAGCAGAGTAAATTGATCGTGAGTTATTCGAGTTTTTTCGATATCGTGGGAAACGATTCTTGACCGGTCGCTGACATAGTCTATTGAGTATGGTAACTCAGTTAAAATTCATCTGGAGATCAGAATGAGGATTAACGTAGTTAATAGTCTCATCTGAAAAAAAAGGCTTCAGTAAGTTATGATAATAAACAGCGGTTTTATTATTATTTAAAAGTAATTTGACTATTTGATTTGAATTGATCTGAACTATTTTGAAAGGACCTTTATAAAGAGGAGAGAGTTTTTTTGTCAGTCCTGTTTTATTTGCTTTATTTTGAATATAGACTAAGTCTCCTTCTTTGGATGGATTTTGATGGACTTTCCTTTCGTAATAATTTTTTGAAGTTTCTTTAGATTTAATAATGTTTTCTCTAGCAATCTCAAAACTTTTATTCATTTTGAGTTTTAATTGTGAATAATAATCATCATATGTATACTTGAATTCTGGTTTTGAAGTAAGAAAATTTGGAATTGAGGCTTTATATCGGAAAAATAATTCAAAAGGGCTATATTTGGTATATTTATGGAAATGTGTATTATAAGTAAACATTGCTAAAGAGACATATTCATCCCAATCGTTTTGTTGAGAATTGGTATAATGTTTTAAGTAGTCTTTTAGTGTAAGGTGGGATCTTTCTAGCGCACCATTGGTTTGTGGGTGATAAGGGCACGAAAGGATGTGTTTGATTTTGAATAATTTGTTCAGTTCATTTATTAAGATTCGAAGTGAAGTTCGTTCCTCGATCGGATAGTATCGTTTCTGGAATGCCAAATAGACAAATGAATTGGAGTAAATGATAGGCAATTGTTTTTGCTTCATGTTTAACAGTTGGAAATGCGTAAGAAATCTTTGTTAAATCATCTTGCATTGTAAGGATAAAACGATTTTCGGACTCAGTGATAGGCAAGAGGCCTACTATGTCGGATTCAGGAAATCTGTAAATTTTGTTATTTTATATATTATATATTTTGTTAAGTTATAGGAGTTTTATCTGACACAGTAATTTCGTGTTTAAGCAAATATGTGGTGTTTAAAATGTCATCAGGTAAATAAAATATGTCATTAAATTCGGAACAAAGACTTTGAATTGAATGTGTTTCTTCTAAATTTAAATGATTTAAACGTAAGTTTTCTTTAAGAGTTGCGAGTCTTTTGGAGATATTTATTTCGTCTTTCTTTTTAGTGACTAGAATTCTTGAATTTGATTCGTCGAAGATCGTTGATCGTCTAGATCCATCTAGATTTAATTTGATTTTATAAATTTTTAAGGTTTTTCTGTAGTATTTAAGATCGTGGTGATGGCTTTGCCATTATTTACTGATACTAATGATCTTGCTAAATAAATTCCATTCGTAATTTTTATTTCAGGGCAAATACCTGTGGTCATTT